TTTATACAACAGAGAAAGGGTTTTACGAACGCTTCTATATTATGTTGTATAATAGTTCCAATGTCTTATTGAGAAGCACTGCCGTTGATGTATCCGGCGAAATTTATTATGCTAATCAATTATCGTACAAAATACAAACGGAATTAAACACGGCATTTAATGATATTGTGCCTGACTTATTCTTAACAGTATATGGACAAAGCGAACGCAAAATGGAACTTAAATTAAATGACCCTCTAAATTACAAAATCAAAATACCTACAGATGAAGAATTAGAAACTTATGTAAATGGCGAATGGAACAGAGGACAGTTTGAATATGACAATTTAAGACCAAAATCTATTAATTATTTATTAAGTAATATTGCCTATGATCCTGCGTCATCTTGGTTAAGTGGATACTTTAATTTAGTTCCCTTTCAGAATATATACATAAATTGTCCTCAATTAAGCGATTATAAATATTCAGCGCCTAATAATTTCAGCAGTTCAGTAATTAAAAAAGTTCAAATTAATCAACAACTTGGCGGTGTTATAACAGATTTTACAGCGCCCATATACGCAGATTTTATTGATGTAGGCGGTAAAAATATTAAGAGACTACACTTTAGAATAACAACTTCAAGAAACGAATTAATTGATTTTCACGGCGTTCCCATTTCTTTTAGCATTCTCTTTCAATTAGATAACTAAATAAACCCCTAAAAATTAATATTAATAATATTAAAAATATCAAATTAATAATATTAAAAATATCAAATTAATAATATTAAATTATTAATATTTCTCAATTTGTCCATATAGACAAAATATATAAAACATATAGACAAAATATATAATATATTATATATGTCAGAAGTCGAACCTGAAATTACTAATACAATTGAAGCAGACGCACCAGTAAATGAATTACCACCAATTGAAGAAGAAGAAGCGCCAAAGGCAGAACCAACAATAGAACCAACACAAGAAATAAAACCTGTAGAACCTCTTAAAAACAACTCAAAAACTCAAGCGCGTAATGAAAAGAAAATAACCTGTCCAAAATGCGCCAAAACTTTAACATTAAAATCTTACAGATACAGTCATGAACGCAATTGCCAAGGACCATTAGAAACTAAGCCTATAAAACCTAAACCAAAAGCAGTTCCGATAGCAAAACCCCAAAATGTAGAATACAACGAAGTAGCGCACCGCGAAGAAGAGCAACGTATTCCGCAACAACAGCAACAAAATAATATAATAGCGAACACCCCACCCCCAAGAAGATCGCAACCGCAACCGCCTCCAAACCCGCTACAAAATATAGCGCAACATTACCAATTATTGCAAAATGAATATTTAAGACAGAAGCAAGAAAATATAATGCATTAAATAAGAATATATTTGGTTCAAGAGGAAAGAAAAGATAAAATATAATTATTATATAACCTACTATATAATAATTATGTTTTCAACATTATCACTAGACGGCTCAAGTAGAATTGTAGCAAGTGAATTAGTATTAATAAATTCAACAGAACCCTCGACATTGAGCAGTGTTTATGCTACAAAACAAGAATTAGCAGACACAGCAGGATCATTAGGTGGAGGTTATACAATTGAAGAAGTTGAT